AACCGCAGTTGTCGCAGTGGGGCTTCATGCAGCTTGTGACCAAACTCCATGCCAACTGACGACGGTAGACCGATACCTTTTTTCCCAACAGAGTTGTTTCAAGATAAGCAAGACTTGCTGACACGTTCAACAGTACCTTCCTATGCGATGTCGCGATACATCCAACGTCACTGCGACCTGATAGAGCTTTCCAGACCAAGGAAGTGCTTTGAAGGGGTTGTAATGTTGGTAGTAAGTACCACATCTTCATCTCCAATGGAAACACATACCGTTCATAGCAACAGAAGTCTTTGAATTTTGATCGACAGAAATTTCTCCCTAAGAAGTCGTCCTCTCATCTTTTTCTTCCTCTAACATCCCATCACCGGATCGAAAGTCTTCTAATGTGTGCCGTCAAGTACCCATAATTCTGCTATCGCTCTATGAATTTGGTGCCTGTCAACGGAACTCATCAACACCATCCAAATCGCCGCCATCATGGTATACTCTTGAAGAGTGATGGCAGCCTGGAGGCACCCGCCCAAGGTTTCGCTAGACACCTCTCCTTCTCCTCACACTACCCAACCTACGACGCTGACGTTACCACCACTGATCAATCGAAGACGATCCTCCTCTTCATCAGATAAATCTTCTCATTCTTCCTGTTTCTCTTTCTCTTCCTCTTCGTCAGACTGGCAAAGCGAGTCACTGCCCCTTCGGCGCAAGGCAGGACTACCATCATTCGAAAGGTTGGAGGATGGAGACACCCTCTACCTACCAGCCACACCAATCCCATCATCCTCCATCATCAGGAAGCATCCGAACCAGAGCGAGGTTGAAAACCATCTTGTCGTTGTTCTTGGGAAGAGAAGATATCATGGCAAATACATCGTCTCTTTCCGGCAATTTACCATCTTCCATGGCATATCAGTCGAGGAAAAAGACCTAAGCGCCAGCGGGGTTTCTTCATGCTATGCGACAACGACGAAAGTATAACAACAGAATCGGCCAACTCAATAGCCAGGATGGCCTTGGGTCTGCCGCTAAAGAAGCGGAGCTATATCAACCTCTCACCCAACTCTCTGTTCGAAATAGAGTACGAATACCTTGACTCTTTTCACAAAACACTGCGGAGACTCAATGATTAATCAATCGCATTCATCAAGAGAGCACAGTGCTCCATCTGAAATCCCCCTCTCTACCATGCCGAACGCCGCCCTTGGCTCATGCCTGGAGGTCTCCGGCTCCTCCACCTCTCGAAAACGTTGATCGCCATATATAGTTTGCGCATGAAAGTTCGACTACCCGTCATTGGAATCCATATCTAGAATGATTGACAATCCGCCAATCTTTGAAGATATCATGAAGAGACTGGATGAGGTGGTAGAGGAGCAACGATCAAAACAAGTCGGCGAGCAGGAAAACACTCGAGGGAAGGATAGGAAAAGCCACCCAAAATGCAGCGGTCAGAGCGCCTGCTGTGTTAGCCAGTGTGTCAACACCAACAATAGTGATGGAGTATGTGTTTGTAAGTTCTCGTCCCTTTTTGATCACAGACTGAGCTATATAATATGGCTCGTACATGGGGTTCATGAGCAATACAAGAGGGGTGGCTCTCAACGTATTCATAATACATGTTCCGAATTTGCATGAAGATTTTGGGTGCTTGTGATCTGTATTTGCAAGAACCAGTAGCACAGCTTTCGCATTCTTGTCCCGAGATAGTTTCCAGAAGCGGAGAGTCCCAACCACATCGAACGCCGAGCCGGCCCACTACGATCGTATGTGGGTTCGACGCAATCAGTGACAGAGATTGTATACACGCCAAGATTCCCTCAGGTTCATCTCATTTGATGTCATCATGTCAAAAGCATGTCGCCGGCCATGCCACTGGCTGCGGAGCCGCGGTTTGAAAACTTGATGCTTAGCTTGTCATATCGACCCGATACTTGTAGACGCTCGACTTACGTATCCAATTAACCAAACAAAAGAGAAAGGATACGAACCGTCCGGTTTCCAATCGAGTCCTGAATATCCTCGAGCCCCTGATACCTGAATCATGTGTACTTCTACGCGCTCTACGCAGCCAACAGTATTGGTCCTTGCGCAGGAGTACAAACTCTGATCGAATGTCAGGAATAAGAGATTTGGAACGAGTTGAAAGTAAACTAATCCATAGTATGATTAGAAGCTCGATCGAGAAACCTTTCGACGTGACACAAAACTTAGCCGAAAGTCTCGTGTACGAGGATGTTGACTTCCATAGACAAATGCCACGATATGTTGAGAATGAAGACTTACTGGCTCCTTGTGTAGAAAGGGACATGAATATATATGTTACAAAGCGTTTCTGTATCGAGCATAGAAACCTCAAAGACTAGGCGGTAGTCATGCTGTTAGACGACCCGCCGTCGTCCACTCGGGGTGTACCCATCCTTGTCACAGAGAACCAGTATCCATGCTTCCGACTCTTGCGCATCGTGCCCCTTCGCAAGAATTCTCATCTCAACCCAGCAGTGAGGCGCGGAACTGGAATGCCTCGTCAGTTGCCCACGAGTTGCCTGACGCCGATCTCTCAAATGCCTCTTGTGTCCAAAACCGCATGCAAATCGTTGGCTCAATTGTGTCATCGTAACACGCTGAGTACCATTAGCACCCCAAACTTCTCTTTCGCGTTGCTCATGAGAGTCTGCATCTGCTGAGTGTCACCACGCCCGTACTGAACTAGTTGATCCCTCAACGATGTTGTCAGAATGATTTGTTTGCTTGACTGCCCGGCTCTCCCTTCGCTTGCCGATGATTCGGTAGGGCATCCAATCTCAGGTCTGCGCTGTGCTGTCAGGCTACCCTGGATCTCGAACGAGGACCAAGACGATGCGAAGGTGGCGACGTATGAGCACCCATCTCCTGTACAGATCTCAGAGCTTTGATTCGTGAATTTGGGAAGTATATCAGTGCTCTGCGTATAGCCCGTACATACTGCTATGCAGGGCGTGGATGATGTGTAAGAATGAGGTTAACATTATGAGCAGCTGTTAAGATATAAGGTGGTTGCGACGGACGAGTCTTGTCTGTTTAAACTGCAGGAACGAAATGGAGAATAGTGGAGCTCTGTGTCCACAGCATGGGCTGAATGGCAGAAACTATAGGGCCATGCGGAGACCGAGGAGAGGACTCATTGTATTCGACTGACAATTCACCCACCTTGAGAACACCTTGAGAAGGCGGTACGTCCTACTGGCAATACTACGTCACTCGCAAATGCTTTTGTGTCGCTAGCAGTACTATTGTCACGGGCTCAATGCAACCTTCTAGCTCCTTCGTTGCTAACCGCCAACATCATTCAACGCACTTTACCATCCTCTCGCGGAACCACAACATGTACTGTTTGAGCGTATTCTTCCTCTGCTTCATCACGACTGTTGCTGCCTCCTCGATGATTGCAAAGGCCGTATGGTACCGGTTTGACGTTAGGCAAGGGCAGCCGCCGTAGAAGCTCCCTGTGGTGCATCACCTACTACCTATACACTGGGAGAGGAAAGCCGAGCAGAAAGTGAGAACCCACTAACCCCTTTACTCATTTCGCAGTAGCAGGCGTATTGCGACCCAAACCCTTGGAGCTTCACCTGGAACCTGGAATTGGACCTGGATCGTCGCGCGCATCACCCGAGATTCAGAAACAGCATTGAACATTAATTCCCAGAACCCATCTCTTATTACGCACTACCTTCCTCGAGACGAAGGCCACCATGGACAACATCGTGGAGATTCAAGGCCAAGGGCGTCGTGGGTCCTTCGGCGACAGACGTCCGACCTTTTTACGCAAAGTGGCCGACTCGAGTCAGAGGGAGCAAACAATCTCGCTTTTTGCAGTTTATGCTTGACAATCTCTATCATTGAGGAACGCCACCCTCTGAATGATAGCAAAACCTTGGGTGGAATTTTCCGATGTTCTTCAAGAAGCCACCATGGTCGAGATCCTCTCCCACCTCGCGCCACGGAGCCTCACCCTACTGCAATTGATGATCAACTTCTCTCACAAACACACTAGCAGGCGCTATCAAGCGTCCGGTTCCCGCCTCGTCCATAGACCCAAGGTCTGGTTCCGTCTCCACAAACTACTGAAGATCCAGAGCAGCTCGTGACCTGTCACGATCGAAGATGCCATCCGCGACCGCCTTGTATCTTATCGTCCACCGACGCTCGCCGTCTCACCGACATTTCTACACCGGGCAGAACGTGCTGCCAGCGCCCCACCTCAGAAACCATAGGCGTCGAAGAAAATATCAAGTCCAATAACCAGAGGCAATATGTGTGGAGATAAGGTATTGAGAGATCAGAGAGTGAGGGGATGCGCTCAATATCGGCGTGGCACATGGCAGTGTGCAGCCCCTGTTGAAACGGGCTGCAAATGAGATGCGTGTCAGAGAGAGCGTTTCGAAAGCCACGCTGACGGTCCTCTATCAAATCTCATTAATGCTCGGGTAATGTTTGACTGCTGCAATGCGATCCTCGCGTGACTGCAGTAGCGCTGAGAGGCTACGTTCTGAGGAACGTCGCATTGTTATTGTCCAGACTTCTCCAAGCGGTTAATGGATGGGCAAAATGCCTCGGTGTTACACAATGCTGCATCGTTCACGCCAGCGGCCGCTAGGCAAAAGGAATCGGTTGCCACGTGTTGATACCCCTGGCAGCACGGCATTATCTTGACGAAAACCTGCATGAGTCGTCGTGCTCTGAGGCTGCCGTAAGCGCCGGTGATCTTAGCCTTGTAGGGTAGCCATGGGATTCTTGCGGAGATAAACTAAAGATATTTCTCTCGCGGCTAGGTCGGGCAAGCTTCGAAAATTCGAAAACCTTTCGAAAAAAAATTGACCCCAGATCAGCAATATGGGCTGATGTTTGCAAGGATGACGGCATTTGCATGCGGCAGCTAGGGATCTCTGGCGGCGGAGTATGCTGCACCGGCATCGCTTCAGAATCATACAGTTTCCGGGAGGCTGAGAGGACGATGGGCGAACATGACCGTCCGAAGCCTCCGGGAGCTGCTCCATGCTACTTGCATCATCATCATCGTTTTCGCTGAGCTTGGCGAGAACAAGTATACGCTCGTTCACTAGCCGCGTCTGCTCTCGCCACAAAGTGTGGTTGAGCGGGAAGAACCCGCCGGCCACCCAAGAGCCTCGGGAGGACGCAATGATTGGCGCGATGGATGCATTCTCGTCCCTGTGTCATCATCGCGTGGCTCCAAATTAGTTCCGAGTCCACCGCCACTCTGAAACGCATGGGTGGATGCTTTTTTTCCTCTTCACCTGTTGCACGTGCTGCATCAAGTCCAGCAGCTGGGCACGTCGAAGGGCGGGACTATTCCGGAGAGGAGACTGTGGCGGACCGTATGCTGAGCGTATTGCTGCTTGGGCTTGAGATATCGGCTATACTCTGCTCACCATGCAACCAACGTAGAGAGATCTGCAGCTGCTCACCCGTAAAGACGCCACGAGTCGTAGGAGTTAAGTCCGAACGAAGCCGAAGGTGATAACGATGGGCGGATTGGGCACACAGGAGGCTTAAGGCTTGAAGGGTCCAGCATTGCGGAACTGGCAGCAATGCGGGCCACAGCCAAGGAGAGCGATGTCTCGCATGGGAGACCAACGATTCATCGTCGTTGTGGGGTTGCACACGTGGAAAGTGCGGCACATGTACCATTCTCCAGGCTGAGAAACACGACAATCTCCACAGGTATGATCAGAGGTAACAGTCAGGCATCGATCGACTGTAGACGAGATGTAGATCTGCCGAGTTTGTCTAGACATGATGACGCGTGGACATGATTGATGCAATGCAGAGTCGTGAGATTTGGCAATGATGCTGTCAGCGATTTGAGTGGGTGCGACACTTGCTGCACGTCGTGCATGTCGAGGAACGCAGCCATGGTGACCATGGCGGACATGGCCCAAGGCCAGGGTGCAACGTGCATTCCACGTTTTGGCGGCCTCAGCAGCAAAGTTCCGGGCCTCTCGATTATGGCGACGTGTTCCACACAAAAGTAGGCCGGTAGTGTTGCGATTGGTAGGCGGCAGCTTACCATGGCACAGTACGACCAGTTCGTGGGCCGAGAGTGGTATCGGTCGCCACCAAAAGGTTACGCGAAAACGGGCCTTGCCAGAAGTTGGACAAACGGCGGTGCAGATGCGAAACGCGGGAGTTTGTGGTGTGTAAGAAGCTGCGGTGTTTGCGCAACGACGCTTTGCTGCCTTCAGCGGCAGGGACGTGTTTGCGGAATAGACAGCTGTCTGCGTCAGGCCATACTGTGGCAGAAGCCCGCCTCAACAGAGCACAGAGGCAGCACGACATGGACGTATCACTGGCTGCACCGGTCTTGGGTGCAGACGCAGATGGCTGCCTCGTCTCGCGTGGTGGCTGATGGAGACATACATGGCTGGCGGTGCTGCCATGGTGTGCCTCGCAGCCGCTCGCCGTGTGCTGAACAGGTCCAACACAACAAGCTGTCGCAGCGAGCCTCGTCCGGCGGGCCCATTGTAGCGGCCGGTCCCCTTTGTCGGCGTGCGGCGTAGTCATCGGCAGCGTCTCACCGTGGACAGGGGGCGGCAGAAAGCAGGGATACCTCGTGGAAGCCCATAGCCAAGTGCTTTATTCCCATGCGTTGGTGGACGTGCATGCCGCCATGTGTCTCGTATGCGACTAGGAGGCCGCTGCGGTTAGTGCCTTTGTCATGGCCCAGCTTCAGGGCTAATTCGGCGCCATACTAGGCCATCTTAGCTGTCTTAGGAGGGCGGTGTGAGGACTGTTCAAGCGGCAGAAGACTCAGTGGTCACGGACCCCCAGACTGTGAAGGCCAATCCCAGCTAGGGTACCCACACATTGCCCTTCAGTGAGGTCCGCGATTTGATTCTCCGCGACCATCTTCTGCTCGGCATGCCCTTCCAGACGACATCTCTTCTCCCCTTGACTGTGTCTGTCTCCTCTGTGCCTGACAGCCTGAGCCCTCCTCCCCCCAGCGAGCCCCTCCACCCCCGACCCGACCACCAGCACAAAGACGACAGCGACCGCCTACCCAGTGCACCTGCCTCAGCCGGCTCAGACGCACCTGCCTCGACATCGCCAGCGAGCAAGAGCAATCCGCCCCCGCCGCCTTCCTCCCGTGGTCCCATCAACCACGCGAGACGCTACACGCTTTCCCGCTTCCCTCTGCTCCGCAAAGGAAGCCGCGAATTGACCAGGACGCCCTCGACCACAAAGAGCCCCGCCGAATCGCCCTTCTACGCTACCGGTGCACCGCGCTCCTCACAATCGCTTGCGCGTAGCCCAGATCTTTCGCCCGCACGCGAATCCGCTGCCAGCCCCCACGAAGACGGCGACGTCATAGCTGAAGAGGAGGAAGCCACACGACATCTGTCAGAGAGGCCGAGAGCAGGCAAGCCCGACAAGATGCATCAAACAAGTTCGCGGTTACTCCGCATGACCGACGATGAGCGGCCCTATACTAGGGTGAGTACAACTATTCCTCACTTCCCGACATATCCACGTCAAAAACGCCGAGCCCGTCCGAATTCGACTACGCGAAGACGTCGGCTAACACTCGAATCAGGATTTCAAGGATCTCTTTTCGACCCTCATGGTCTCACTTCCCCTCACAGCACATCGCGTTCGCTTCAGGATGATTGACTTCACCTTTACATCAGACGAAGCAATCACCAACCTTGGATCCCTCAAATTTTCCCAGTCAAACCGCATGCCAGATCCCAAGGACTCATCACGTGTCGTCACCACTACCACCACAACCACATTCTCAATGGCCAAGGAAATGGCCCGCTCCGTCTGCCAGAAGTTTCTCGAGGCCAAGTTTGTCGAGTCGGTAGAGGGCAAGACAGATTTCATGAACAAGAGCTCGGTCTGGCAACTTACGCCCAAGGGTATTCACATCCTGGAGCGGTTTTGCACACGCAACGGTATCGCTTCAGCTCACGTCAAGGCAGTCATCGAGTCCAACAGGAATCCCCGACAACTGGTTGTTCTCGAGCGTAACACCGAAACTGACAAGCTCCATCATGACGAACAGACTGTTGAGATCCTCTTCCGCCGCTTCATTGGTACCACCGCAAATGAAACCCAGTCAGATTCCGACTCAATACACGAGTTCTCAAAGTGTGATGTTGGGGTTAAGCTTGTCAAGCATCGGCCTACTTCGCAACGCCAGTTTGAGTACACCTTCAATGGACGCAACGCCGCACAGTGGCTCATGGACTGCACAACTATGGTTGACCCCCGCGAATCTGTTGAGGTCGGCTCATTGTTCTTGCAACTAAAGCTTATCGCTCCGGTTGATCCTCGTAATTCAGAACACCAGTTTCAGCCCTCCAAGCAGGTACACTATTACATCACCAACCACGGTGAGCGCGTTGCTGGCTGGCTTCTGGACGAAGTCCCCTCAGGTGGAGACATCGCAATGAAGTCAAGGGATGGGGTTGCCCGCGATTCCAACAGCAACCGCACCAATGTCATCATCCGTAACCCTTCATGGCGCCTTCTGTACCGCGAGTTCCTCAAGGAAACCATGTGTGAGGAGAACCTCTCCTTCTACCTCGAGGTCCAGCAGTTCAACAAGCAGTACCGAGACGCTATCAATGACAAAGGGGATAACAAGGTCGAGACCATCAGAGAGACTCTTGCCGCAGCTTATGGTAAATCTTCACATACTCAAGCTGCAAACGTTTTCTAACTGGTTTAGGTTTGTACAACGCTTTCCTGGCTCCTGGCTCACCCAACGAACTCAACATCGACCATGGTCTTCGTACACAACTCGCCACTCGTATGACACGTGCCGTTGGGGACGACGCAGCAATGTTGCAAAGCCTCAACGAAGTGGCTTCGCTTTTTGAGAAGGCACAGCAATCCATCTTCAAGCTCATGTCAAGTGTATGTTCTCTCTTGTATACCCGTTGCCCGAACATCCTGCTAATCTCACATTAGGACTCTGTACCCAAATTCGTAAAGCACCCCAAATACGCACCCCAACTCCGCGGGCTTGATGCCGCTGCTGCATCCGCCTACGTCGCCTCACCAACTGCCACCCGATCATAGAATGAATATCTGGCCACTCTTACGACTGATTCTGATAACTTTCACATGATGACACAACGACGATATGCGAGTGCCGAACCATCTCAGGCTCGTGCGCCTCTCTTGGATAGCTAGCATCATTCTCCTGATACCTCTTTCTCTCGGGTTCTCAACCTGTTCTCCTACTCCATTGCATCCAGTCATAGACTGCGGCGTTTTATGGGTTCCCGGCCAAAAACATTAGCATCAGGTGGTCGTTCGTGGAATCACCCCTTTTCTTCTTTGACCTATGTCACATTTTGTTTACCTTTCTTATCTTTTCTTTTTCTTCATCCGGTGGTCATAGCGGGATTCAATATACAAGCGTACGTCACTGAACGCTTGCAAACAACCGAAGTTCGCAGGTGTTCTTTTTCTTTTCCTTTTCCTTGACGGAGACTAAAAGCTGGGACCGAAGACTATCGAACGTTGCCCAGAGTACTATTTTTGGGCACCTGTCCACGGCTGCACCCCAGCTGTTCTGCCCTCTTCATCGTACTTTCCGACGAGCGAGCGTGGAAATGAGGACGATCGGGACGGTATAGATGGGCACCGCGACAGTCTCCTCACCGAGACTTTTGTAAGTTTGGGTTGAGGAGAGTTGATCAACATGCTGGATATGGGAGAGCAGTCGACCCGACCTGACGAAGGCACTCGATAAGCATCGGACGGATGATGGAATGCAAATAGAGCACTACTGTACCTTAATAGGAGGTTTCCGATGATACCCTCATACTATAGAAGAATTCATAACGATACTACACATCCTTGCTTATTGCTGGCAATGACTTGAACTCTGTTAACTAATCTGACAGCGGCCGACCACAGCACGGCGAATTCTCCGAGGGACACAACCGCACATCTGCCTTGCCCCAACCATCCGCATTACATAAGCACACACACTTCACTCCTGAAAACCTCCACAATCCTTTTACGAGTCTGGGCCCCGGGCCACCTAGTATCTCTAGCCCTGGCCCTTCTAGTTCAACTTATCTGCTACGTGCGCATGCTACGTCCGCGGACGCACGACCGAGCGTACCCTGATTTTATCTGTCAGAAGTCAGAACACGACCTTCCACCACATCGCGCGAATCGTGTTTTTTTTTTGAGGGAGCTGCGGGTCCATGCAGTCAGCTCCGAAAGCTACTTCTGCATGTTTTAAGTCGTAGGTTGGTCGCATCGGTGGGGATAGTCGGAGACGTGATGGGTCGTTGGTGCAGGCGTCGACCTCCGCGGGTTGTGGTTGGTGCGGAGGAGGACCGGGGAGAGTTGTTTGGTGGAGGGCGAGGCTGTGGATCGGAGATGGGCTGCCGACAGTCGTTGTCGGGATTCAATCTAGGTAAAGCCCCGGGGAGCGCTTGAAGGGTCGAGTAATATACGGAGCGACGGGGTGTTCATGCATCGATAGAGTTTCAAGGGTGAGAACTGTCATACCAACGAGGGAGTTCTCGGGTTGCAAAGGTAATGTAAGCGTACTGGTACGACATTAAGCCTTACCTCATCTTCTCTTTGTTTCCGGCAATATGGATTTCAGATGTTGATACTACGATGCCGAGCTCTGATCGCCATGCCATGTGAGTTCCTCGCGATCACCACCATATCCAGCTGGCACTCGATTGGCAGATCAGCCACTCGCAGTTTCCATTGCGTAGTCAGCATTGACTACTCATCTTCGGAACAACCCTCTCGGGCCGGTGACCGTCGTCCGTCGTGCATCTCCGACCGTATATAGCCGGGTGGTGGCTTGTCAGCGGCGTGAAGATTAGGTTTTCCAGATCCGGTTTTCTTGGGCCAAACGGCGCAGTTCTCATGTAGTTTGGTGCATTGCGCTCGCGTGGCTTCTTCGGTGGTATTAATTTGAGTTGAGGGGATCTCCCTGATCGCGGAGGGAAGAGCCCGCAACGAACGACCGTGGATGCGTCTCGCATGTATATTTTTATGGCAGGTGCGCCAGTGTCCCGTTCGTATGATTGCATGATCGGTCAACGAGCATCCTGTTTTGCCGGGCGTAGAAAGGGGTGACCCTGGGTCGTGTAGTTTAGAGTTTGTGATGCCACATGGAGGAGCTTGGTGGCAGAAAACGTGCATCCATCTCCGAGACGGTGGTAAGTTTTGCAAGCGTTGCTGCGCCGGGTGCAAGATCGAACACGATTGGCCAGCAGCGCTAGCCTTGCACCGTGGATTACTGATGGGATGCTAAGTGAGAGAGCGTGGACGGGAAGTTTCTCCGGTGGACTAGAGGATGCGAAGATGGTGTAGGGGTCCAGGTAGAGGATGTGCAGTAGGAGCACGAGATCTTCACGTCCGTTATACGCGAAGACGTATCATGCACCGAACGACATGCCAGCAAATTTCAAGGATCAGATCTTCGCGCGCTCCGTCACAGACGCCATGGATAGCTCACTGCCGCTTGTAGGACTAAATGCTCGATTCCACATGCTCCGAATCTACTCACGATATTGCGAGACGATGTATGTAGGTGTGATCGACAGGTACTCATTCTTCTTGGAGTAAGCCCAAGCGAACCGAGGTACTTGTGGCTTGCAGCGTAGGATGCTTGTGGCTTGCGGGATTTGATGCTACATTTGGGTTGAGAGACGATGACGTCTGGGAGGCTAAGTGGTAGTGCGAAGGGTTCATGTGCGTGCGAAAGAAGGCTTCGGAACGGGGCATGTCGAGCCGAGGCAGATCTGTTTGACACGAGACAAGACGGCTCGACCACGTGAGCTGGCGTGCGCGCGTTGCGCGTGTGAGCCAGTCCGTGCGTTGTGTTTTCGGGTCTGACGCGACCGTCTCCACGGTCGCAATAACAGTGATCAGGCAACAGCAAAGAGTCAGCATCACGAAATTCGCGCCAGAGTCTACTTTCGCATCACAGGAGCTCACTCGCGGTGCCTGGTCTCATCTTCCCAACCTCCCTTGAACACTCGACATCATGGGCCCCGCGCCGCCCAACAGCCAGATGGCTCCTCTGCCTACGGACCTCCCCTTCCGGCTCGTCAGTAAGACGATTGGGCAAGGCGCATACGCTTCGTACGTAGCCATATAACTGTGTACAAGATGAGAGGAACTCGCTAATGGTAGAGTCTGTAGCATCCGCAAAGCCGTCCCACACAACTCGCCCAAGCCCGTCATCGCCATCAAGTTCATCAACAAAGAACATGCCCTACGAACCGGCCGCCTCACGCCGAAACAAATAAAGATGGAGATTGTATTGCACTCGCATCTCGGGAAGCACCATAATATCATACACTGCCTGGGCTCTGGAGAGGATGCGCTGTGGACATGGATTGCCATGGAGTTGGCTGAAGGCGGGGACTTGTTCGATAAGATTGAGGCAGACGAGGGCGTGGGCGAGGATATTGCGCACTTCTACTTCACCCAATTGGTGAATGCTGTGACATACATGCACAGTAAGGGCGTCGCGCATCGCGACATCAAACCTGAGAACGTGCTATTGAGCGCCGAGGGAGACCTCAAACTCTCTGACTTTGGATTGGCAGCACTCTTCAAGAAGGACGGGCAACTACGACTATGCAATACCGTCTGTGGCTCGCCGCCCTACATTGCGCCGGAGATTGTATCAGGAAGGCGAAGCAAGAGAGCTGATATGCTAGACAGTGGCTATGCAGCGAATATTTGCGACATCTGGAGTTGTGGTATTGTTCTCTTCGTTCTCCTGGTTGGCAATACACCTTGGGACGAGCCGACCAAGCGTTCGGCCGAATTCAAGGAATACGTCGAAACCGGAGGGCATACTACCGATGAGCTCTGGAGCAAAATCCCTCCAGAACTCACCAGTCTGTTACGTGGTATGCTGAAAGTCGACCCTAAAGAACGCTTTACCCTCGATGAAGTACGCACACACCCCTGGTGTACACGCAAGAACCCATACTTGACAGCGAGTGGACGCAATGCGAATCCAGTGGGACTGGCGACACAGATGTTATCGCAATTACGCATCGATTTCTCAAGACCGCCGACGCAATCCCAACGTGGATGTTCGCAAGATGTAAATGAAGATGGGGATGCGATGGACATCGACACTGATTCAGATCCTCGTCGCTCAAGCGCTGTACATTTCCTTTCTGCAACGCAACCCGAGACTCCATCTGCGGAAACACCTTTCGACTGGGAGCGACCTCCACGTATCGCCTCTTACGACGGAATTTCCGCATCGCAACCTGTCTCGATACCCGACAACCGTCCTATCAATACGAGCTCGACGCCTTATCTCTCACAACTTCCTTCTTCAACACAAGATATGCTCTCTCAAGACCCCTCTATGACACAATTCAGCTCCACCCCTGGCGTCCCTCTGACTTTTACTCAAGCAGCCAGGAAGTTCGCCGACATCCTTCCTTCCTATTCTCTGGCACGTTTCATCTCTCCCCATACTCTCGGCCTTCTTATGCCACTTCTCCTTACCGCTTTGCATCGGCTGGGTGTCCCTGCGCCATCCTTCAGTGAAGCGCAGATCGAGGAAGCAGAGAAAGCAGGGACAGCTAGTATACGCGTGAAGATGGCAGATGGGCGGAGACAAGGCTTGAATGGCCATATTGTCATCGAGCAAGCAATATATGAAGGGAGTGCGTATTGGGAGGTGAGGTTCGTTAAAGCGAGTGGAGATCCGTTGGAGTGGAGGAGGTTTTTCAAGAACATGGTGCTTTGCGTGGGTGATGTGGTATTGCGGCCCAATTAGATAAGAACAAAGACATGTTCCGAAGGTAATATGTTGGTATACCCTGGGTTGTATAATGATGGGATGGGATTATAGGCGTTGGCTAAGCATTTAATGATATAGGCAGATGGACTGAGGACTGGATTAGGATGGCGTGGATATATCTACGGGGCTGTTGGCAATCGACGCTGTATTCTACGGAAGACGATATGACAACAACATCATGAATATATGAAACAGTTCACTGCTGGTGGTCGTGTAACAAGTCAATCATCTCAGGAACAACAGTATCCCAAATGATACCATTAGGTGATAACAAAGTATCACTCCATGCTTATGTCAGATGAATAAATGATCCTACATGGCGTTGTTGGCAGGTAGCCCTCCAAGTTTCGCAAAATCTAGTTCTCGCTTTCCAAGCCACAAGAAGCCTTCCTTGGAAAAGCTCGAAATGTGATCCATGGCAGACATCCGCAAATCTCACCATATGCAGTCGGTATGTAGTCAGCGATGATAACAGCTAAAGGGATTTTCTTTGGCTGTTTACAAATAGCATGCCAGCTCAATGTAACTATATCGTCATGGCACCGAAGACAGCAGCAGCAACCGCAACGACCAAGCTACTCATTCCTACAGTGCTCGCAGCACTTATATCATCGCCATTTCCGCTTCCGTTACCAGCCCCACTCCCATTCGGCTGATCCTCTGCCTTCAGCTCACCCGCGCCATACGCCTTGAAGCCTCCTGAGATAGAGCTTGCATGTCCAGTAGATCCTTCTACACACTTGCTATCGTCCTGAAAAGCATCCCAAGCTTGCTTCCAAGCAGCATCGGGATCAGCATAGGTTGTCGCAGTGTAGAAAATCTTACAGTCACTGGCTTCATATATGTACTGTAGAGGCGTACCAGAAGCATCGCCTTTTCGCACTTGATCCTGGGATTGAAGGCGTGAAGCTCCATCTCCGGCGCGTGTGATTATTTGCGGAACATTCGCAACTGCTGATAGAGCATCGTCGTTGGCGGAGTAAGATGATAGGGAGAGTGCGGAACTCATGTTCAACGCGATCTGGGCAAAACTTTGCCAGTAGATTAGTGGTGTTACTTCGCCGCCTTTGGACCCGGTCACGGTTTGAATAGCCTTATTCTCTGGTCGGCCACCAACTGTGACAGCTTTGATGCCGGCAATGTTCTTGAGCTCTTCATGGAAGGAGGCGCAGGATGAGCCGCAAAGAGCGTCGGTATACATGACGATGTTGGATGCATTGAATGGAGTTGGGCGGGTACCATTCACGAAACGCCAACCTTCGGGGAGGATAGACACTTCATCAGTGTACTGTGTTGGTGTTAGCATCGAGTATAGTTAAGCTAGAATGGTTTCTGTACTCACATTATAACGCATCGTCTTTGTGTACGAGTCGTCGTTCAACTTAACTGGGCCATTAAAGTCATCCCACCCATCGAAGTCCGCACCATCCGCATTGCGGAAGTGCCACCAGGACCAGTACCTGAATGTATAGCTTTCCTCAATACTTTCTTCAGTATACTGAGCAAACCTTCTAGCTTTGACCTGGTCACTTCTTATCTCGTTGATAGCGTCGCCAATCTTCACAAAGGCATCAGTGGCTCTGTAACGCTGCCCGGAGAAGGGCTCCATCTCCGGAAAAAGCTGCATAAAGGCATCAAGAAGCAGATTAGTGCTACCGCCACCGTTCTCGCGTAGATCGACGATGAGTTTCTGCTTGTTCTCACTCATGCACTTGCTGAGAAATGAAGCAATCGTGACCTGCAGTGTGGAGAATGCAAGGTCAGTGTATGTCTCGCACATATTGAATGCACTAGTAACTTACCTGAAACTCGTTGCAGAACTCAGATTCACTCAAGTCCTCGCTAGGGTTACTGAAAGAGATAATCTTGAGAACTGCAATATCGTCGTAACCATCACCATTGAGAAAGTATCCAGCCACTGTTCCACTTGAGTCTTGCTCAACAACATTTTCTGCATAAGATCCAGAAGTAGGTGTCATTGTCTGACGCTTGTTGCGACGGTGGTAGATGCCGGTGGGAATACGGGGAACTGGTCCAGGAGCGCTAGGCGCTATAATATGATTGATACCAGCAGGCATCTTCGGTTTTGGCAGAGCGATGTCAAATGAGCCCGAATCAGCCTTTGTATTGGCAGAGAGGGGCGAGGAGCTGCCGGTGCAGAATGTGTCGAAAAATGACTGTCCATCAGTAACACCTGCGAACATAGATGCATAGTCTGAGGATGCGCCGTTAGGTATGGAAACTGTTGAGCCATTCGCCCATGTGATATCGGTGCTGGGCCCGTCATATCTCCTTTGATTCATAAAACTCCCAAGGTTGTCGGTATCTCCTTTGGACAGCATGTCGTTGATGAGACCGTCGGAATCGATGTATTGTGACCAGGAAGTGGACTTGAGGAAATCGTATGGGTTCTGACCATTGATTTCGGTAATCTCGGAAACGTCTGAACTGCCCTCGGCTACACTCGCAACATCATCAGCCACATAGAGCTTTGGAAGTGCCTTGCCGTCCTCCGAGATGGAAGCGACATTGATCTGTCTGAAGAAGTCGAATACTGTGAGTATATCGGGCCTGTAGTTGAAGTGGAAATTTCCAGTACGGATGGTAATGTTTTGAATAGCTAGTTGAACCGCATATTCACTGGAGAAGGAGTTGAGGTTGTCCTTCACGCTATCCAGTTCTGCTTCGACATCCAGGGGCCCAAATTCCCAATCATCGCCTGGTTTCTTCAACCACACAAGCTCGGATTGGAACTGCCATATCTGCTTCAACTCATCAATCAGCTGTGCGTTTCCTTGGACGTCGACCGGGACGGAATCAAGACAGTCGAAGGCTACCTGTGCTTCGATGGAACTGGATTGCCTTAGATCCGCGGCAGCAGCTGCGCAGGGCTCGGAGGACGAAGATTGTGCTGCGACGAGGGCCGTTGAGGCCAAGAGCAGGGCACTCTTCAGCATAATGACATGCGTGGACCCCCGAAGGCGATCTTGTCCGAAAAATAATGGAATAGGGTTATTGGACACCACTCGAGCAATAAGCAAAACAAAACACGGAATTCAACAAAGCGGCTGAAGACTGAGGCGGTAGGTGACGCAGTGACGGTAGAGGTCTTAACCCAAGAGCTTGGGTGTCTCATCGGAAGGCAACAGGATGTCGCCTGCCTCATATAGGACCAAGAAAAGGCGCGTTCTAAGTTGCTTTCCCTTCCTCAGTCTAGGCTTTCGGGAGGCCTGAGCCGCAATGAGACGATTGGGATTGGCGCCAGGATCTCCGCAGATGATATCCGCCTTTGAGTTGGCTAGTCTGCTGTTAGGGCTGAAAATCCACAGCCTACCAGACCTCGCTTCCACGCACCGCCCATTCGAAGTTCAAAGCTCATCTACTGTACTATACAGCACAAGCTACCACAACACGCATATTGGCGCGCCATTTGGGTCTTGGCTCAAACGCGCATTTGCATCAAGGCGTTTCCTGAGGAAGGTGGACTGGTGTTGCGTAAAAACTGAGGCACGATTGACCGCCAATCAGACAACCAAGCATTACATGCATGAGCTTTTTCTCCATACCGGGTGTCCTTTTGCTTTAGCGTGCCAAGTGTGGCACAGTGATACGCAGGATCCAGAGTGAGGCGCGGATGAATGCCCAATGGAGAATCGCGTCTGCATGGTTAGACGAGCGACGAGGAGTTATTTTATTCACCGGTATGGACTACGACTGATTACCGTTTCTATAAAAGTTATGGCGAGCAATAAGAGTAGTTGGGATTTGTGCAAATGTGCTGCGTTCCGGTATTGCGAGTGATGGATGAAGGTTGCTGTCCTGTAACAGAGGATCCCCTGAGGTCATGCCAAGCCTTTCGCGTGTGAGAAGTGTATCTTACGTCTCGCACGCACATCAGACTACATTTTGACATACCCTGATTCGAGAACATAACGACACACTGCGCCTTGTGACAAGAGGCGCCCTTGCGAAGTGAGGGCGTGAGTGCTCTACATTCAGGTACAGTAATACCTTGAGAGCCTATGTAGGTAGCCCGAAAGTCATTCTATACTAATCAAACCATCTGACGCCGATATCAATCTTCCGCCAGTCAGCGCAAGCTATGGAACAGGCAGTCCATATGGCTTGATAACTGAGGCTATTACAAGCTGTGCAAAATATATCTCAGGCTACAGGCTCCATACGTTGCCGTGACAGGTGATCGTAGGATTAGGCCACCAGGGATCAGCCCTAGACTCAGCCCGTCTGTCCTAGATAGATGTGTGACGGACCAGGTACACAACAACATGGATTTTGGCCCCCAACTACAACGCCATTTCATGGGCTCTAGGAAATTGAGGAGCTTGCTGGAACAGCTGACCTAATAATCATGTACCAGACTGGACAGACCTTGCGATATAGCCACAATTCAAGGGTGTGCTAGAGCGTCATCAAGACTAATACGCTTCGCCGCATCGGGGTTCAGCAAACGCAGCCAAGTCAGAGCATACCCTCAATCGGCGTGTCTGTCATGCTGGGTGTGTAGCACTTGTTTCGCCGAACCGACTCTTCTGCCCGCTTACTGACATACTTCGAGAATCCGGTTCCTTTGCTTTTGAAGACTACAGTCCTTTTCCATGTACTTCTTGATACCTTTCATTCCGAGTAGCAATCTTCCCACGAGCAGCTTGTACATCAACACCCCTCAATTCCACTGATCGATTGCCTTGATATGCCTTCCTCCGATCGTACAGGGCTTCAGGACCGTGGCCGCGACCTTGGGGCTTAGATGACCCAGTGTGCTGCAAGCAGTAGATTAGGATCTCGACTCTGTGTGTACAGAGTATTCGAGATCGATAAGCTCAACCTCGCTGTGAAAGCCAAGGAGTAGGTTTTCGGGCTTGACATCACGGTACGTAATGTTCTGACCATGACGGGTAGTGGTGTGCGGAAGTGAATTGAGTGATTTAGACGGAGGTATGCTGTTCAGTGAATCGGCCTTTTGTTTGTTTCTTGATGTTCGAGTATAGGCTAGGAAAGCTGCTGTACTGTTTCCGAGGCGTTCTCGTCCATCCGCCATCTTACACCTCGTTTCTCGCTTTGACGTTCGACTAGCTGTTTGATTGGAGGGTACTAAACCTTGCTTCCGTCCTTTACATCTATTCCTTTATCAGTGAAAAATGAGTAGGTAAGAGAAGCGACTATCTATCGATTACTTCAAGTCTGTAAGAGCAGAATGGACTCCCTTAGTGATTGAGACGTTTGCGTCTACGACGTGCTGTATAGGCGCCACTTTGTTCATTAGCGATGTATGTTTGGGCTGCGTGCGGCCGAAAGGTGTTGTTTTGAAGACGTGGCTGTAGCAAATTTAAAGTCAGAGTGTGTGCATGAAAAAGTCACATATAATGCTACGCTATATCACTCTCACCGATCTGGTCTCAGACCCGTTTGGTCCTCGTCATCAAGGTGAACGCGGGTCTCAGTATTCACAACACCGACCGTCACAACAAACGCCCAACACATATTGATACCAGTATCGACGCTGCCACACAACTGTCACTGGCTTTTGTATGTTCATCTTGCTAAGTTTAGATCTAAATACGTGAGCTCTCTTAAGTTGTTCATCAAGAATCGAACCCGATTTGGCATTCTTGGGCATTAGCCCACTCAGCTCTGCTAGATCAAGGTCGCCGATTCGATTCTCGAAGACAGAAGGGAGACTGAGCAGACGCCCAGATTCGCCGGGTCGCACAACGATCGTCTGGCGAAAGAGAATAAGGAGTCCGTCACCATGGGTCGCGTGTGAGGGGCGCCCATCAGAGTTCTGTCTTGGTAAGTTTTTTTTTGTTAACCACTCTCCTTCTGTAGCTTCTTTTGTAAGGCGCTCGCCTGTGTATACAAATATAGCGCCAAGCTTGCGTAGAGTGCGGCCTTCTGCTACTTCGTTCCTTTTTCTCGCTTGCACATGCTAGAAACATTAGTGTAGCTCGAATAACGTAGGATATAAAGCATACATATCGGCGTTCACAGAACCGTAGAGGATTGTCTCTTAGTAGAGCAAATTTCGGGCGTCATCAAGGTGTCAGGCCCAGGCGCTGCTCAACCACTTCCACAATCTCCGTCCAGTCTTTCATTGCGCCGCCTCCGATATCTCCGCACGCCAACTCTTTCTCCATGGGCTGCAGCACCTCGAACCAGCCCCCGTTCTTCACACCCCACTCTTCCTCCAGTACCAGCACCTGCTTCTTCGTGATAGGCTGAAACCACATGGCAGTATTCATGCTTGGTGCGACTAATATCCTCTTTCTCTGTATGCCACCTTCATCTTGCGGCCATTGCACGCCAGGTATGCTCCTTACCGGATCGATCAGACCGGTGGTATCCCACGCGCGTACAACAGATAGCAGAAGGTTTTCCGATAAGCCTTGTGTTATCTTAGCGAGCTCGTTGGCGCTCAAGGGTGCAATGACCATAATGTCTGCCCATCGCCGTAGCTCAATATGAAGGATCTTGTTGCCTCGTACCCATGGTGCCCTCCACTCGTCTTCGTCAAAGTATATTCCGTCTACATTCGGCAGGGCTTCTATGGCTTCCATGGAAGGCTGTTCGCCGCTCTGTCCCTGCAGGAAGCTGGTCGCCGCAGCCGTGAATATGAGTCGAATCCGTACATTCGCATGTTTCGCTAACGCGTTGATCATGTTTGGTATTTTGATGGTCGCAACCGACCCTGACGCGCAGAGAAGGATGTGAATCTTGTCATCGTGATGATGAAAGTCGAAAGGGTCTGTCCTGGGAGGGTCGTGGACCTGATGTTGGACAGGTCTAATGTTGAGCGGCTTGAGGTCGCGTACTTGAGCGGCCATGTTGTGTTACCTTTAACAGGTCGTCACTAAGTGTCAGTATCTAACCAAGAAATCTGAGCGAGATGTCTGGGATCTAGACATTGTCCCACTGTTGAGTGTGGCGGCGACGTTACGAACGCGGTTCGCCATAGTGGGGGAGGGAGATGTGGTGTCGTGAAGTTTGACGGACGCTAATCCGCTTGTCGGATGGTTCGCGGGAAGTGTCCGGCAGCTGCGCAGTCAGCGACACTTTAGTCGACCCTTCGCGAATTTCAACGTCAAGCCACACAAGACATAGCGTGTAACACACTCCGAAAGCCTTGGGCTTCTCATTCTGACTCTGTCTTCATCCAGCCACAGTAGATCACCACTCGAACGGAGCACCGGCGCCTTATCTCCGTATCACTCCGTCCCACTTTGGTACACCAGATAATCTTCACCATGTCGTGCAGTCAGCCCAATCGTCGGCGTGATTTGTTCATAGGAATCTTCGTAGAGGCTCAAACTTCACATTCGAGCTGCATGTGCAGTGCTGGGTAGTATCTGTATCAACGGATAGGTATGATTTCATCAATAGCGGGGTTAAGGAGTTAACGGCGGGGTCGTCCGTCATTATGTGTGGAGTGCCAGCGTCATTGCGATGATGGGTACGCGCCAGGTGCTCAAAGATCAAGCTCATCCGACTTGGTCCGTCCAGAACCTACATCTCCAACAACTAACAATCTCTCTCGGTCGAAGTTCTGCGGCAGCTTGTCTTATATCCGCCGGAAGACACTACTCCCGTCGATACTCAGCAGATCGAACCACAATAACATAAATAACGACAACTTCACTTGCAAAAACCAACTGTCACAATCACCAACACTACTCAAATACAAGCTTCGCGATTTCTATAATGTCTCTACCCACTGCACCTCTCGGTCGCGATGGCCCCCAAGTCACTCGCCTGGGTTTTGGCCTCATGGGCCTGTCCGCCTTCTATGGTCAGCCCAAACCTGACTCTGAGCGTCTAGCGCTGCTTGACAGGGCTCATGAGCTAGGCGAACGTTTCTGGGACTCTTCAGACATGTACGATGGTCGCAATTGCAGGTCTAGCAACAGCTTACAAGTGCTTTAGGTACGGCGACAACGAAGACTTGATTGGGAAGTGGTTCAAGGCCAACCCCGACAAGCGCAATGATATCTTCCTAGCAACCAAATTCGCGGTCAAGAACATGGGCGCTGAGATCGACTCTTCTCCAGAATACGTCAAGGAGGCCGTCGAGAAGTCTCTGCAACGGCTCGGAATTGAACAGATCGATCTTTACTACTGCCACCGTGTTGACCAGAAGACGCCCATCGAACTCACTGTGCAAGCCATGGCTGACCTTGTCAATCTCAAGAAAGTAAAGTATCTCGGTCTTTCAGAAGTCAGCGCCGAGACGTTGCGAAGAGCGCACAAAGTTCATCCTATCTCTGCTGTACAGGTTGAATACTCTCCTTTTGCCCTAGAAATTGAGAGCAAGCAAATTGACCTACTGAAGACATGCCGTGAGCTAGGTGTGGCCGTGGTTGCCTACTCGCCTCTAAACCGCGGTATGTTGAGTGGTGCCCTCAAGGGCCCAGAGGACTTTGAAGAAAGCGATTTCCGTCGATTTGCGCCTCGCTTCAGCGCCGAGAACTTTCCCAAGAACCTCAAGCTTGTGGAGCAGATCACCGAGGTTGCAAAGGCCAAAGGCGTCACTCCCAGCCAATTGACTTTGGCGTGGTTGATGGCGCAGGGTGAGGACATTTTCCCTATCCCAGGCACGACTAAGGCTGCGCGCCTGGAAGAGAACGTGGGAAGTTTGAAGATTGAAGTGAGTAAAGAGGAGGAACAAAAGATTCGCAAGTCATGTGAAGGTAAGTGTGTCTGTGCGGACTGCATGTGAGACATAGGCTGACTTTGTGCGCCCCCATTTAGAGGTGGAGGTTAGTGGTGGACGCTACCCTGAGAGCTTCATGAAGTCGTGCTATGCCGATACGCCGTCACTTGAGCAGTACCGAGATGGTGGTGCAGGCTTGGATGGGAGTGGAGGTGACGGAAAACCGACCAGGACAGCGGATATCATTGGCGGGTCGTAGAGCATCGTGTTGGACGAGAAGGAGCGGATGATGCAGACAAGGGAGGAAAAGACAGGCAAAATTACAATCTGATTCAACTCTGTACAATGTCCCCGCAGCACACGGTGATTGCCCACAACATGTGTTTACTCGGTGCAGGTGTGTGTGGTGGAGTCGGGCGCGCCGGCGCTAGCTGCGTTCGAGGGCATGGCGCGATTTCAGCGCTGACCTCACACCCGAGTCAACTTTCCACCATCTAGACATCCCCGCATCCACGCCCAAGACGGCCTATCGTATTCATAGAGAGATAGTGAGACAAGGCAGTGCATCCACCTGCGAAGCCATTGGCCCTCGACGCATCCAGCAAGAGAGCATCTCAACCTCGCGCACACGTCAACCTTGGTCCAGCGCAGCCATGGGCTTCATCACCGGCTTCGTAGGTGCTACCGGCCCCTTGCAGTGATGCCAGCTAACCCAAGACAGCTCGGGGGCGTCACCCTCACCACGGGCGTTCTCTACCTCACCATCTCGCTGCACACACAAAACCGCACAACACAGGCCGCGCTCCTAAGACAGCAACGCCAAGTCCTTACCGACTTCTACGAGCCCAAGAAGCCGGAGCCAGAGCCCACAAGTCGGGAAGTGCCGGTTGGTCTAGCTGAAATGGCTAAGGACAGGTGGAACAGGAGCCTCGAGGAGGGCGTGAAGAAGGTGTACACGACGGATTGGAGGAGAGTACGCGAAGAGGCCGAAGACAGGGCAAGTGCCATACTGCAGAAGATCAGGGAGGGCAGCAAGTAAGCGTTTGCCCGTGCGCGTGTAGATTAGAAGCATGTGAAGGTGGCGCGATAGCACGGCTGCGACGATACCCTTCCTGCGACTGTACAAATATCTGGGGCTTGCAATTGGATCCGCAAAGGTTCACGTCTCCGCACTATCTGTTCCTATTGTTCGTTTGCGTTTGCATGGCAGCACTACGCGTCTGCCTAGCCCTCCTCCCACCTAACAACATCAAGTCAGTCATAATTTTGTCTCCAACAATACCGCACATGCCTGCGCAAACATGGCATCTCATGGCAAGGTCCTCGATCTGTTCGACGACCGCTATCTGGAATTGCAGGACGTCATTGGCAACGTTGAGCCGCTGCCCACACTCGTGCCTTATGAGCAGTACAAGCAACACGCCATCGTCTACCGCATGGACACGAACCATGACATCTTCATGGCGCTTCTGCACGACTTCACAGAGCGCAAGTCACTGGAGACGGGCAAAGAGCTGTGGACGTGGTGCGTGCAATGGCAGGTTGATGAAACCGCTACTCACCAGCCAGCCGTAGCACTACACTCACCCAAGAAGCCTCGTATCGATCCGAGACAGCCGAACAGTCCTACTATGCAGCCACCTTTAGGTCATGGCGCGCCCCCAATAACCGCCCAGGTTCGCAGACTCGATCCCGAGCTGATGCATCAGGAGGATATGCTGCGTATATTGGTCGACATCGTCCAGGTCAACAGCACTGTGGTGCCAAATTTTATCGAGTTTCTATACCGATGGATCGACTTCTACGAGGGAGATGGAAAAGCCTTGAACGCGGCTCTGTATGGAGAGATTCCAAGCTTATGGGACTTTGAATATCATCCGATTCTTGTTCCGGAGGACGTTAAAAAGAAAATAGGCGAGGCAAACAGTATCACAAGAGACGGGAAGGAATATGGAACAGGAATCAAGACACCAAAACACGCCAACGCAGAAGAGCTCGCTCAAAATTCGCCCACCAAGAAGATGCGTCAGAAGCCCAATGTGGTGACATTTGAGCGTAAGTTGGAAGAAAGTGAGCGTCTACAGTATCACGAAGTACATTTCGGCATACAACCTCCGAAGCTCAACGAGCCTCTGCCGCCTCTTATCAATATTCCTCGGGACCGGGTCAAACGAGCGAAGTACCACGCTGCTTGCTTCAAATCACGCCAACGCGCCCTTTACCTGCTCATGGAAGCTGGGGTTACTCCGCAACAGTTGAAAGATTACAAGAGGTGTCAGACAATGAGTCTGAAAGACACGCCATCGCGTGAGGGAGCACATGGCCTCGAAAACTACGAGAAAGATGCGAACCTTGCGCAGATGATTCATTCAGCCAAAGAGAAACAGAGAGTAAAGCAGATGGAAATTGCCATCAGCAACAAGTTGGCACACGAGGCCCAGCTTGCTGGTCACAGCACTATTTCTGCAGGTTCGTCTGGTGTGCCTCTCATCCCTATCATGCCCCCAACCATTCGCAGTCTGGAAATAGCTGGCCAAATATCACGTGAGATTCAGCAGACTAAGGATGAGAGAAATCAGAAAATCAACATCGTTCCTGTACCACTTGTGGGTAAGACGAAAAGCCTGCTTTTCAAAGGCGCAATGGACAGAGCAGCCTTACTAGGGATATGCGGGCCTGATGGGCGGTTAGCAAGCCCACCTTCTTCTGTCGATACTGATGGCCATGGGTCGAAGAACGAAGATGAAGGCAATGGGATCACCGATGGAGACTCAAATGATGACATCAGTGCCTCTGGGGACGGATTGTGTACACTACCTGGACCAGTACTACCGCCGGTCTCAACGCTCCCTCTTCCAAATCTACCACCGCCATCGCGTCCACCTCCAGTAATGACGTCCAGTCAACCTCGAAGCTCTTTTGACTTCAATCCTTCGTTTTTCTTGCAGCAACAATATCCATCCGGGCACAGTGGTCCGTCTACCTCTGGTCCTGATCCCCCAAGAAGGTCGATGTCATCGTATATAGCGGAGAACGTGCGAGACAATACCCCAAACCAAGCACAACAACCGACACCAGTGCTGCAATACCAGGAAATTATGGCTTCGAACAGTGCTAGAATCCAACAAAATGTCCTGGGTGGACAGGTAAGTGTGCAAGGTCCTCAATCTACCAGCAACACTAGATCCGATGCTTCGAACATGATACAAAGAGCATCCGATCCACCCACGGAGACCGGGCAAGGTTCTTATCCTCGACCATCTGTTCTGATAGCATCTCGATCTTCAAACACAACTGTGCCACCACCACCCGGATTTGAACGCGATGGTCCTTTTATCTCTGGAAACATGCCCCCTCCGCTCGGACCTCCACCGCCGCCGGCGGCGGCCTACCCCTCTACTAAACCTCAATCTGATACTTACAGCTCAAATCTGCCTCAACGAATTCAGACATCACCATCTTATCCGGTTGGATCTGAATTCTCTACTCCTGCACGACCACCAAATTTCGCGCAGCGCCTTCTAGCCCTGGGTCATGCTACTAGCCTTCATCAGGGACTTCGTAATACTGGGCCGACATTACTACGAGAACCAGATATGCCAGCTCCTAACAGCCTAGGTAGTCAGTACAAATCAGCCCAAGAGCGTCACCACGCCAATATGCAGCGTATCACTCCATCTCCACTCACACTTCGACCACCGCCCTCTCCACTTTCGTCCCTAGCACCAAGCTTGCTAGCCACCTCGCCTTTTACCACCTCTCATAATGGCATTCCAGTTCAGATCTTTTTACCCAGAATCCTCATCCCCTCTAACACCATTGGTCCAGGCGGAATGAAATTAGGCAACAGTGGCTGTGCCGAAACAGATGCTTTTCTTCTCGGATATACGCACCCTCTAAGCGGGAAAATCACTCTTAGTCGTGCCGTCTTCTTACCTTTGGGTGTGTGGATCAATGCGCAGGATAGGGTGCGAAAAGGCAAGTACAAAGTATTGGAGAGCTACATAGCACCGACGAGAGATACTTCAGTCTCACATCGTGCTGTTTATGAGAGGGTAAGACAGGCTTATCATCTTATGAAGACGGGATCGCCAGCAGCGAGAGAGCGGGAATTGACGAAGAGGTGGAGGGCTAGTAGGGGGAGGATGAAGGAGACCCAGAGAGGTGCGGTCTGGGAAGGTTGGGCTGTGGATGTTGATAGGGACATTGTGATGAGTAAGGAGGATAGGACGGGTGCGTTTGTGCAAGATGCGTTGATCGATGGAATCGATGAAGATAGCGAGGAAGTCAGAAGGAGGAAGGAGATTGACGAATTGCTTGACACAGACGAAGCATGGGATTATGGAGAGGATGAGGATGTGCATATGCACGGCTAGGATCGAATAGATGGGGTGTGACGGCATTCAAAAGCTTCATTCAGGGCGGAAGTCTTTCATAATGATTTTCCTGAACTAGCTTTTGTAGCAAGGGTAGATTAGATACACCGCCCACCATCCACTTCGAGATTGACCCCAGTGATGAACCCTGCCTCCTTACTTGCCATGAATATACACGCATTCACCACATCATCTACTTCCCCAATCCTGCCCATAGGTACATTAGACGTGAACTTCGTCCTGTTTTCCGGCGTATCTTCCATTCCGGTAAAACTCGAGAAGAGACCTGTAGCTGTAACGAGCGGGCAAATGGATACGACGCGGATCTGATGTGGACCGTATTCTGCTGCAAGTCCTTTTGTCGCCTGAATGGAATGTGAGTAAATACAACACTCATGCAGATTGGAGCCACTACAGGAAGACATGACTCACGTTCCATATCGCGCCTTTACTCGCATTGTACCACACCAATCCTGGTCTTGGCCGCGTAGCCCCAACACTGGCAATATTGATGATCACACCTCCTTCTTTGCGCTCAATAGCTTGATCTACCCAAGCATTGCAGCCCAGATATACACCTTTAACGTTGACGTCAAAGACCTTTTCGAATTCATCTTCAGTGACAGTCGTGGTAGGTTTGTTAGTATAACTCCAACCTGCGTTGTTCACGAGAATATCACAGCGGCCAAATTTCTCGATACAGGTTGAGATGGTGGCTTTCCAGTCTGAGGTTTTGGTAACATCCATTTGGTGAAAAGCAAGGGAGGAGGGATTTGTTGCTGCAGTTGCTTCGCCACCAGATTGATTGATGTCGCAGACAAGGACTTTGGCTCCTTCGGAGGCCATTCCTTTTGAAATACCAGCGCCGAAACCTGAGCCGCCACCTGTTGAGGTTGTTAGTGAATTATGAGAGGCAAGACATGAGGATGCGATGTACCAGTTACGATGGCGACTTTGCCGTCTAGTCTGCCCATGACGAGAGCTCTAGCGCCTGCGGTTCACAATGAGTTATGTTTAATCGACCACGATTTCGGACTACCAGCGCCAATGTCGATTGTCGGATAGGCAGCAACGGTGTTGATGTTGTGACTGCGAGAAGGACAGTACGGTCTTGCCCACCATTTCATGCACCCTGCTGTCTGTCACCGGTATCGCATCTCCAATCACAGTCTGCCGACTAGTCGTTTCCAGGGTTCCAGCACAGCACAACAGTGAGGGGTAAGCGTGATGCCCCGCATGAGGTTGATATCATTTTGGAGGACCACCGAGATTTGAACCAATTGGAAGTCATCTACCCCGATAGCTCCTCTGTGTCCAGCGTCTCTGGCGTCCCTCCGGATCACCTTTATTGGAATAGCCGAGTGTAATAGCTAATCAACAAATCGGTCATGTAGGCTATATGATGAAAGGTGGGGAAGCTTTTGGTGTCTGCAGATGCCTTTGTTGATGATCGCGGAATCGGCGCGCTCTCCGCTCGAACATCACAACTCCTCGTTACTAGAGCACACTGCTTTGCGCTGATTATCTTCGGCTACCGATACGTATCTCTCGATACGACCACTTTCTAGGCCTATAGAATACGCAGACAAGACTCTGACCAATAGCAACATGGCTGTGGACAGCAAACATCAGCTGCCGTTTAAGGTGTGTACAGACTACTCAATAGTTTCTCATATTGTACTGATACTTTCAAGCTCAAAAATCCAAGTTTGCTACACAACCTATCCTTTGTGGATGGTAGCTGGGTACGAGCGAAATCAGGAAAGACATTTGAAGTAGTTGGTCTGTCACTGGAGCGCATTTGAAGACTCCGATCTGACAAGCCCATAGACCCTGGAACTGGGAAGCCGTGGATCGAGTGTCCTACAAACGATGCGTCAGATGTAGACAATGCTGTCAAAAGCTCACACGAGTGTTTCAAGAATTACAAGAAGATCAGCCCTCGACAACGGGCGCAGATGCTCTACCGATGGGACGCTCTCATCAAAGAGAACAGGGATGATATAGCGACTATCCTTGTGTACGAAACCGGTAAACCCATATCTGAGGCGTATGGAGAGATTGACTATTCGACGGGCTTCACATGGTGGTTTGCTGGAGAAGCAGAACGTATACAGGGCAGTGTTTTCACTCCTGCACTACCAAACAGACGCATCTTCACAATCAAGCAGCCACTCGGCGTTGCTGCTGCGTTGGTACCATGGAACTTTCCCATCGCGATGGTTCTTCGCAAAGCCGGTGCCGCATTGGCTGCGGGCTGTACAATGATTGTAAAGCCCAGCCCAGAGACACCAATCACTATACTCACGCTTGCGTATCTCGCGCAAGAAGCTGGATTCCCCAAGGGAGCTTTGAATGTCCTGACTACTGATCTTGAAAAGACACCAGAACTCAGTGAAGCACTCTGTCGGCATCCACTTGTCAGTAAAGTCACCTTCACAGGCTCTACACGCGTTGGCAAGCTAGTTGCTAAGATGTGTGCCGATAATCTGAAGAAAGTTACACTGGAGCTGGGAGGCAACTGTCCTGTTCTGATCTTTGACGATGCAAACATTGAACAGGCTATGACCCAGATCTTCGCACTGAAATATCGACACGCGGGTCAAGCTTGTATCACTGCGAACCGGATATACGTTCAATCTGGTATTTTTGACAAGTTCCTCGAACGCTGGAATGAAGAGACGCAAAAGATCGTTGTCGGCCACGGTTCAGATGAGAAGACCACAATGGGACCAGTGACGACCCCACGAGGCGTCGAAAAAGCGCTCGCGCTTGTTGAAGATGCGAAGAAAAAAGGCGCGAAGATCCACACGGGTGGAAACAAAATCAAGAAAGATGGTGGCTACTTCTTCGAGCCTACTGTCATTACCGGCGTGACCTCAGACATGGATATTGCCAATGAAGAGGCTTTTGCCCCGATCAGCACATTCATCAGGTTTGATACTGAAGACGAAGCGGTGAGGGAGGCCAATGATACCAGCATGGGTCTTGCTTCCTACTGCTTCACAAAGAACGTCGATCGCACGTGGAGACTATTCGAGAATCTGGAGGCTGGCATGATTGGCCTGAATACGGTAAGTCAGGCGCGAAGGCATTGCGTTAATGTACTAATGCATTCTAGGGCAACTCTTCCGCTGCAGAGTCGCCATTTGGGGGCATCAAGCAATCTGGCTATGGCAAGGAGTCTGGGAAGGATGTCGCTGTGAACGAGTATCTGATTACGAAGACTGGTACTTTTACGCTAGAGGAGCAGTAGTTGCGAGTTAGTAGCTGGTTTTGGAGGATGATGTCTGTCTCGGACGCATGCACTGTCTCGCGCGTATGCCGTGACCATTGGGCGTGATTTTGATGTAGAAACGATTGTTAGTGATGAAGGACAATGGCGCACAGTCGTGTTGTCGGGCACCCCAGTCCTGCACGTGATCACGTTAGTGCCCGCGCTTTGGAGCTTACCAGCGGCGCGCGCTGCTCTCGAAGTTGCACCAACAACGTCGCCCAATTGCCAAAACCTCTTTGTTAAACTTCGGCGCCATGGATGACACTGACATGACCGATGTCGCCTACGATATTGACATTGATGTAGGCGAAAACATAGCACCGGCAGCACAAGCGTCGCAACCACAGCAGGTTGTCCAAGTGAGCAATGCGCAAGGCTGCACAACAAAGAGCGCAGTTGACTGACATGCGCACGGCAGAACAACGCGGCCGAAGCAGAGCGAAGCGTGCCCGCGGCCTACACCGAGGACATTATTGTACACGAGCCATGGCCGGAATCCCTCAACCTCCAGGGCGTGAGCGACTTCGACCCCAACGATCCGCTCTACTGGGCTATGGAGCATTGTCAGTCAGACCCGCGCGTCAAGCAGCTGCGCTGGGTCAACGACAACTCGGTCAACCTCGAGTTCTACAACAAAGAAGACGCGACGCTTGCCCTGACCATCCTCACACACCCCGACAACGGTGACTTCAGCAACGTCTCCATGCAAGAGCCCCGGAGGGCGAAATCGTACTCGAAGAAGCTGGACAGCGTGCTCATGGTCAGGCAGTCCAACGCCGGGGATCAGAAGCCGAGGGGCGCGGCCACTAGGAGCAACTACTACCAGCGCAACCCCGATGTCGCTGGCAACCGTCAGAGGGAGCCGCGGCGAAAGCCGCCTCCAAAGAAAGACTATCTGGATTACGGCGACGAGGAAATGGCATCTGGTGAGCGACCAAGGCGGAGAAATAGTGGAGATGAGTCCATGGGCGATTCAGGCCTTGACCAGAGGGGCCCGCGCCGGAACGGACGAGACTTTCGCGACGCCCGCGACGGGCGAGACAACCGGGGTCGCGGCAGGGGGGGCCGTCAACCAGCTTCAGGCAGGCTCAGGAACGATGCCCAGGGCCAAGACGTCGACTCGTACCGACCAGGCTCAAGAAGGTACGCCAGCACATGTCCTTCCATGGCTGACCAGCAGGCTAACAGTCCCAGTCCGGCAGAGCCACGCTTTGGTCGCCTGCGAGGACGCAGTGCCTCCCCGGCCTCTGACGAAGAAGGCGACGGCCGATTCGGGTTTGCCGAGCACGAAACGCACGCAGGCCGTCGGCGGTACCGCAGCCGAAGTCGTAGCCGTAACAACCGCCGTCGTCGCGAACCCAGCCTGGATCGTTGGACGCACGACCGTGCCAACTACGATCGTCAGAATGGCCCTACAGCTAGCGGACGTTGGCAGAAGGACGCTTTCTTTGTTGACACTTCACCAATGGGCAACCACCATCGGTCAAACGCTATAGACGTATCCAAGACACGAGGAGGTGGAGAATCGCTACTTTCGCGCATGACCAAGAACGGACAGCCCGTGCTACCGCAGCCGAAGCGATCGCTAGCTGACAGGATTACACGCGATGATGACGAGCCCGAAGAGTTGTTTGGCCGCCTAAAAGGTGACGACCGTGATCCTCATGTTACCGACTTCTCGGAGCCATCACGGTCTCGTCGCGGTCTGGCAGATCGTATCACGCGCGACGGCGACATCAACATTCGCGGTCAAGGACGAAACCGGAGCCAAGAGGGCATTAACATCCGCGGCTCCGCTGAGCGAAGCGGAGGAGGCGGTATCAACATACGTGGTGTGGCGAGCGGTGCCTAGAATGCTTCCGCTACTGAGAGAGATGGACGCGGAACAATGAGAAATCACTCATCTCCCCAAACTGGCAGAAATTTCGATACTATTCTGATTTGTCGCCGTCGTAGTTTTGGAATCATCATGGAAGATCCCGAGTTTTGAGCAGAGATTGGACATAATTCAACATGGCAGCCCACCGGTGGTTAATCAAGCGTGCCTGAATGAAGTTGCTTACTACTCTACTCTACTGTACAATTTTTCTTACCTTGTCATGCATCCTACAGCGGAGTGGCATCCATTCAAAAGCGTCACCAAAACTGCAAGCCTCTTTTGCTTATGGCAAGCTGAAGGCTAAAAGCTTAATCGAGATACCAGTCCATGATAGTCATTCTAGACATATTCTGCCATTCCTTCCGCTTCGTGACTTGTGGGCGAGTGATGTTTCTATGACTTCTCAGACCAGCGACGTAAAGATACTCAATACCAGTCTAGCACGGAGCTACAAAAAGGCTGCCAAGACTCGCACGATTCATTAGAAACGGGTTGGAAAGAGCAGCTGGAGCGCAATTCATATCGAGTGCAATGGCAATGATCAAGAATTGTACACACAACGGTCGTCGCTGTTACAACCACATGCACAAGTTGATTTCAATTGCACACCTAGAACCTAGCCTCAACCTTTTGTTCTGTATCTTGTAATGCCCATTGACTCCTGGCCTTCTTGCTCCTGACAGCTTCAACCTGCTCCTTTGTGAAGCCCTTCGCGACAGTCGCTGGGTTGTATCCTAGTCCTGTAATCTTGCCAATCTGCTCATCTGACTTATCCGTCGCAGCGCTTCCATCGTGCCTCTTGTAGACTGTGCAGACTACCGCGCCCCCGAGACCCAGGTTGTGTTGTAAAGCCACCTTGGTGTCCTTGACTGAGCGATTGTTAGCCCAACCGCGCATGTGCCAAACCAATTCTGCGCATTGGGCGAGACCCGTGGCACCTAGAGGATGGCCTTTGGAGATCAGACCGCCAGAGGGGTTAATGACAACCTTTCCACCATAGGTTATGCCGCCCTTGCGGATCAGCTCATGAGCTTTTCCTTTGGGAGCCAAGCCGAGGGCTTCGATGGTAACCATCTCGTTGGCAGAGAAGCAGTCATGGAGTTCGCACACCTTGACATCGTCTGGCGATACGCTGGCCTCCTCGAGTGCTTCACGGGCAGCCAATTCACTCATGCTGTATCCTACTAGTTCAATTGCGCTTCGGTTGAACAGTGACGGTGTGTCGGTCGCGAGTCTTTGTCCAGCAATTAGGATAGCCTGGTCCTTGAGCTCGGGACGCTTGTCGAGAAACTCCTGCGAGACAAGGACTGTGGCAGCAGCTCCATCCGAAGTCGGGCAGCATTGAAGCTTTGTGAGGGGTTCGTGAATCATGGGTGCATTCATGACTTGTTCGAGGGTGTATTCGTCTTGGAATTGCGAGTAGGGGTTGTTCTTGGAGTGCGCGTGGTTGATGCGACCAATTTCTGCAAAGTCTTTGAGTTCAGAGCCGTATCTATGGAAGCGGTCAGAATGGTTTGGATGTGACTTGTACGTGTGGCGCATGTCTGAACTTACTTCTCCATGTGCTCCCGTCCAGCGTTTCCGAACATCTGAGCGGCACCAGGGGCCTTGGTAATGCCTCTCGTCTCTTTCATCATTAAACTTGACGTGCCTGTCGGGTTTGCGCGATCTTGGAAGAAGGTCTGCAGCGACCCTGGGAACATCTTCTCAAAGCCCACTAGATATGGGTGTGCGCAGTCAGTGCATGCCTCACATACAGTTTGTACAGGGACACTTACCGACCAAGACGCAGTCGGCCGCTCCATGCGCAATCATGTTTCGTCCCATGTACAGGCCTGTTGAGCCAGTCGAGCAGTTGTTGTTGACATTGTATACTGGAATGCCAGTCATGCCAAACTGGTAGAAGACGCGCTGACCGCAAGTTGAGTCGCCATAGCAGTAGCATGCGACACCTTGGTCGACGTCGTCGTAGTTGATGTGCGCGTCGAGCATGGCTTTGACACCTGCTTCAAACCCGAGTTCGGGATAGTCCACCTTGCCACGAGGTTTGATGAACTTGGTCATGCCCACGCCGAGGACGTAGACGGGCTGCTTCTTGCCGACCATGATGGCGGTTGTGAGGTAGGAAGGGCAAGGCGTGTAGAAGCTCTAGCAGTGAAGGAACGCAAGTAGGATTGAAGGAAAGAGCAGTACGTTGCCGCTATGTTGGCTCTTGGTCGATGAGTATGCTGGACAACCGAGAGACGCGCTCCATGATAATGTATGCAGCGCGACGGTTGTCCCCGCATCTGCAGCACCTTTGGCGCGTGGAGATGCCGAGGTGCGACTCGTGAACGGCAAGGCGGGTCAGAATAGCCGGATCCTGCGCGTGGGGAAGCCTGCAACACGACACATCTGACACCAGACAACCATCATGCAGTCTCAGCAAACTCCTCGGTATGTAAGCTAGAAGAGATGGCCTGTTGTGTAAGCAACGAGCCACTGTGGTTCGGCTTACGCTGAGTATGGCGCAGAAAGCAGAGTTGTGTAGTACATGCGACACTGACACTCCATAACCTAGTCAAGCACTTGCTGGATAGACCGATGGCTAGACCTCTATGCGATAAATGTAGAACAACACAACTAACAACTTGGACTAAACTTGCACGACGGTAGTCGGCAGTACGCTTTAAAATCAGAGAAATGTCTCGACATGTTTGGCCTTCCAATACGCTATCTAAGTAGCACTTGACTCACCCTGATCATCCTAGCACATGAATACAAGCATATATGTCAGATACACGCAAAGTACAATAACTTGGCTTCACAACGATCTTGGTGGAATCAATCACGTCTTCACGCAGAACTAGTGCTTGGAGTATGTATAGTGCCCTGCCATGTTCTTTGATACTGCTCTCATCAAAAGGCAGGAGTCAATTCAATACGAGGTGAGTAACCTCGGGAGCCTTCTAGATTGAAGTACATTTCTCAAAGATCGGTACCCGCAGTCGGAAACTCCCGAGGTCATCTTAACCGGCCAATGTGGTCTTAGTGGAGAGAAGTTCGGAATTTTTCTAGTCAATATGATTATTATATTTCTCTTGCACAAGCACATACGACCACAGGATCTTGAGACCACGGCTTCCCGTTCGCTCAGCCCTAGTTAAGCAAGATACCGGCGGATTAGTAGTCAGGTGGGTGACCACTGGCGAATCCCCGCTGTTGTATGTTTTTTGTTCCTCTCGAAAGAAAATCATTAGGCCGAAGATAGGCGTACTTGCTATTTTTTTGTCTTCCCGCAGATGCTGTTTCGCATGGTCGAACTTCTTTGACGTCGAGATAGGTAGTAAAGAGTAGGCAATAATTGTGGTTTCATCGTGACCTCAGGTCCTAGATACTCTCCGAAGATCCGGTTCTGCTCTCCCGTGGTTCGATTTGCGTGTTATGTCATGCTCCTGCCTTCTTTGGTTGGTGTACATGTTGGTGCTTCCATGTCTACGTCCCTGAAGCAGATACAAGCCTCAGGAGCGCATGAGCTGAGATGAAAGTCTTTGTCTCTTATTTCAAAATCCGTCCAATGTTAGCCATGCCCTCTCAGCTCACGTCCTCGTCCTCCTCGTCCCTTTTCCTTTCTCGCTCGTCTTCTTGCTCCTTCAGGTGCATGGCCTCGACCAACTCACTGCCGTCCATGCCCACCTCTTCTCCATTGCTTCCATCTGTCGGTTGCTTTTCTCTTGTAGCCTTCTGCGCTTCCACTCTTTCTCGGACTAGCTTTGCGATGGCGTTGTCTGTTTGTACATTCAGTCCCTTCATCTTGTGCTCCAGGTCCCTCTTCAGGTCCCAGTTTGGCTTCTTGGGCTGTAACTTGAAGAGATCTAGTCCCTTGTCTTCTGCCTTCTCTGCGTCCTGTTGTGCCTTTGTTTCCAGCGCTAATTGCTCTGCCTTGTATTCCAAGGTATTCGTGGGGTCAGCGATGGGAAGGTTGTCGAAGCCCAGCTTGACGTTCCGCGTCGTCGCATCGTAGTTTCGGCCCGAGAGGTAGGTCGCTGCTACTGAAGGTCCTTCCTCGTCTGTGCGTATAAGAGCCTGCGATGTCTCGGTCTGGAGCTGGGTGGATGGCGAGTCGGCAGCTTCTGGCGCGTCTGAGATTTGCTCTTGTTTCCGCTTGAGCGACTTGAGCTGTGCGAGGCGTGACTTCCGGTCGTTGGCGGCTGCCGATAGCTTTTCGTGTGAAGACATGGTGAGAGCTTTGCGCTTGCGCCAGGTCCTAATCTGGCTGTATATAGAGCCGGGGGCCGCCGAAAGCTTGGCTGTGGCGTGGTCTTCTTTCGCAAGAAGCCTTGTGTGACGATGCGCAGGGGATCAAGGCTGCGATGGGGGATGGGGGATGGCTGAAGTTGTGGTCGTGTTCGCGAGCGTTGCGGAGAACAGCTCGGGAGTCCAAGATCTTCCCCGGTTGGCGTTCCTGACCAAGTACGCACTTTCTCAGGTTTTCGTGTTACCGCCACCAGCTCCCATTCAAGACAACAAGTCATGTCTCGATGAGGTCCACATAGCCTTCACCTTCTCATGCCCCGCTTCCGCGTCCCCAATGCTAGCCTCATCGCCAGCGCGGACCTCCCCATCCTTCCGTTCCTCGCGCCGAGGGTCTTTGCAGAGTCAGCTATACCGACAAGGAGCAGGCAGCACCGCCGGCGAAGCGATGCATCACCGGAGAAAGAGAAGGGAACAGCAAAACATGTAGAGGGAGGCACCAGAGTGCAACCCAGGCACGGCAAACCAGAAACCAGAAAGGCGACTGGGACAACATGTCGCAAGCAACCCATGCACGACCCATCTGCAATGGGCTTTCTACAAACGTCTGGTTACTCGATGAGAGGAACAGGCCACTCCGCTTCTGTCAACCGGCTCTATGCTGAAATATCCACCTTTACTCGCCAACATGCCCGATCATACGCAACCATCGCATCCAACAATCAAAACATACCAAGAAAACTAAAGTCCTCGCGGCGCCTAGAACGAACCAAGGCCATACCAGAAAAAGCAAAGTCTTCGCGACGCCAAGAACTGGAGAAGGCTCTCTCTGTAGAATACGCGCGTCTCGATTACTACATGTCCACGTTGCCTTCCCAGATCGAGGGGTCCTCCTTTGACCGCAAGACCCAGGGCCAATACAGATCCTTAACGCGCCGCATAACGAATCTCAAGCGCTGGGGATTGACACATCTAGACCTGACGAGGGCAGCTGAAGGGTCAGCTAAAGAAGTCGGGCTTCATTACGCATTTGCAGCACTGGATCGACCGCTCTATCCCTCCTTACGAAGGCTCACGCGCAGAGTCACTATCAAACATGATCGTCAATGTGCGCGGCTGAGTTGGAGACTCTTTGCAGCCGGGACTCACGGGGTTTCTCCGAGTACACACCAAGTATGGCTGAAATGGCTAGCACTTGATATCTCGGTACGGAAAGCTTATGCCCATCGGGTGCTCATCTATCTCCTCGATCGTAGGCCTTGCCGTGCTTTGCATTTCGTAAAAGTTCTGGCCAACGATCCACTCCAGCGGGATCGAAAGACTGGAGTAATCGCCGATGCTCTCGACCATCTCGCTCAGCTCCATACTCAAGGATTACACGATAACAAGAGTTGGGGTACCGACCTAGAGGCACACAAGCGCCAGTTTGTCAGTGCATTCGTGCACATCTTCGAAAAGTCGTTAGCTGGTCAGATCGGTGCTTGTTCTCAGAATTTGTTGTACAACTTGGTAGAGCTAGCCACAACGAAAGACTTGAAGAAGGTATTTGATTGCCTTGTGCAACATCGGGTGGGCCTAGAGTTTGACACTGTGCTGCATTATGCAACCGCGTTTGGCAAGGCTGGCGAAGTGCAGTATGCGTTGAGATGTCTTGACTTGCTCACAGCTAGAAGTACGGCTACACCCTTGGAGGTTATGGTGGACCGCAAAAGACTTCGGTGGACATGCGCTGGCATACTGCGAAGGAGTATGAGTGAAAGTAAAGACTTCCATCAGACTCCGCTTGTCGTCGCTGCTATTGTACGCCTGGGCATCAAGATGGACATACTTCTTTACAATATCGTCATGCATAACGCTATGGAAGCTGGAGATTATGCTACAGCCTTCAAAGTATACAACTCTTTGGAAGAGAACGGACTACGGGAAGACAACTACACCCTCTCGATAATGCTTCACGGATGTACCATGCAGAACGACCCAGCTCTCTTCCAAGCTTTCGCACAACGCTGCGCTGACATAGCAGGAGACACCCGGGACCCTTGGTTAGCAACAGACTATATCTACTATCTTTATGTACGCCACCACGGTGACGAGAACGTCGAACGTACCTCAGCCATACTATGGCAGTCCTACGCCAGATACTTCTCAGTAGCGCTGCTGCAGTCGTTTGTCGGCTACGGATCTCCAGACCTAAGGAACGTCAGCATCTCAAAAAAGACTTCTGCGCTTGGATCCTTGTATCTTGCTCCTCCACCAGTGGCGTTGTACATTATGCTGCGGACAGAGATCCGATCAGCGTTGGCAATCAGCAACACGCGAGTCTATAACCTATACATCAAATTCAAGTCGGTTGTAGAGGAAGGAAACCCAGAATTTGATGCGTTGGCTCGAAACCCAATAATCTGGAACGCTTTCCTCCTCGCTTTTTGTGAGAAACAGCAATTTGCAAACGCATCCCAGCTCATTCAAGACATGACAGACGGTCCGGCGAAGCCCAACGTTTACAGCTGGAATATCTTTATGCAAGCTTTCTTCAAAACACGACAAGTGCAAGCGGCAGAACGCGTCTCCCAGCTCATGCGAAATAGCGGTGTTGAACCTGACCGCTACACATGGGGAGTTTTGCTGCGGGGATATGCAAGAGCACAACTTGTTGATCGAATCGGCGATATCATTCCGCATTTAAAGCCAGAAGAGGAATTAGATGATGATCTGCTGAGACATCTTGCGAAAGTAGTTGACCGGAGGAAGCTGATGGACGTATTGGAGGAGAACAGGTCCCACAAAGAGACGATCGCGCTAGAGAAAGCAGCTCAAGAGACAGAGGATGAGCGTTCCAGGTGGCGGGACGAGCTCACAGATGGCGAGGCAGCAACAATAACAAGCGGTCTGTCTCCAGTTCAACTCGACATGGTTGCTGCGGCGCAAACCAAAGAGTTGCCTGCCACTCAATCTGGCTCATCAGTTGTTCCTCCAAAGCTTACTTCAGTACCTAAGCAACCAACAGAATCGCCTCCAATGCACAGACGCCCGTCGAGATTACCGCGCGCCAATTTGCGGGACCCTGAAGTTCAATACAGAAAGCTTCAAGAGCAGCTAGGTCCCGTCGAATCTACCGAATCCGCAGTCAATGATCGTGTTGAACCGGAATCAGTCGAGCCATCTAGCGCAGGCCTGACTTCCAAGAGCATAATCAGCAAGAACAGTGTAAGAGCTATAAATTCTGGCAAGCCCGCTACCACGCAAAAGAGGCTTAGATTCAATTTCGTGAAACCCGGCCGGCGGGGATGACCTGAAGTGATGGGACTATAGAGGATCTATAGTGTATAGGATATTTATTGAATGCGTACAGTGTGTAACTTCACTTTCTATGTTAGATAAGTGCATGTGACGAGGAAAGAGATCTTTTACCTACCAGCTCCTTACCCTCGAACCTCTAATCACCTCTACTTACCTTTACACTATCGTCCACGCGATTGAGCGCTGACTCATACTCCCATGGCACTATGACATTGAAGTAGCTGCACTAAAGCCCATAGCTTCATAGTATCAACTTAATCTTCCCTGCCACACCCAGACTCATTGTATTCCATTTATAACGGTCTCGAGGACTAGCTCATGCACATTTCCATGTCCCTACCAAATAACGAGTAGCCCACCGTCATTCTGTTGATATTACACACGCCAAGTAACCTAGCTATAATTTACTACCACGAAACATGACGGGGAACCAGTAAGAAGTCTAGACCAGACGGGTAGCTGGATAATGAAGCCGCTGGTCAACCAAACTCCACTGTCGAACCCCACAATGACACTAGAGAACTGGAAACTCGCTCATCGACAAGTCGTAAATTCCAAGCTCCATGTTCGCCACAGCTGACCTTCTCGTGCTTTTTTGTCGAGGCTGAAAGAGAAGCAAGGAGTAGCCGAGTACGTTCGTTCATAAGAAGAAGGTGCGTCTCTGCTCGCCCAGCAACCGAAGAACGACTAACATCCATCTCTGTTTCCTAGTCCGGGTCGGAAGAATGTTCACCGCGGGGTCGGGAGGATCTACATTGCATTCGCATGCGAGCTAACTACCTACTACTGTATACTAACGACCCGTTGGAGCAAACCAGGCTTTCTCAACATTATTGCCGTCCCGCTCGCCGCGAAGAGATCTAGATCAAAACAGACCGCCTTATGAACGCGTAGACCTGAGGCATACGAGTGGGTCGAATGTTGGCGCAGAGTAGGGTGATCGTAATGTAATGCAATCGGATCGATCACTGTCATAGTAACATGCTGAAAACTGATGAACGTTTGGGCCCGTCTTTGTACAAATCAGATCATGTTACAGAGAACACCATTAGAGGAGCTCGAGCACGGAATATTGTGTAATGCTTGCTTTCAGTCTATTTCTCTCTCTGCCTACAACTCCTGTCATCATTTGTAGGTTCAAACAAGTAAAGGAAAAGGGATTGCCGAAGAAATTGGCGTGCAGGTTGTAGGATAGTTACAAAAAGATAGTGATGTAGAGAAGGCGTTGGATAATTACAAGAGTGATGTATTGTTCGCATGAGAAAGCGTCAGATCCTCCGAGATTCCAGCATCAGTATGATAGAAGATGGTGAAGAAAAAAAAGCTGCCAGCATGCATCATCTCACTAAGATCTAGACGAATATAATTGCCGTCTCTTTGAATCTTTGTCGACAATTCGACTACAGTAAGATAGGCATGCTGCGCTGGTCCAAACTCAAAGTCGCTCGTGCTTTTGATTGTTGTGCTCATTACACAACATGTAGCTTGCCGGACTGCAACCCTGCAACCTTAATGTGCAGGATCTTCCGATGTCGTACCACCTGCTTGCGTCGGCGAGCCTACTTCCGTATCTTCCGGATAGAGACCCCTTGCGTGGAGGGGGCATGCGGAAGTGCATGCCGACATCCATACAAGTGCGCACCGCACCAGTACAGCTGGCAAAGGACATTATCAAGATTCGACGCAAAAAAAAAATATGAATTGATGACCGCCCAATGAACGCCTCCGTTTGGATATATGTTGACTAAAAGCTGAAGGAGATGAATCAAAGATAGGGTCGCAATATACAGGTAGCGATGAGTGAATAGATGAAGCAGCGGTCAGGGCGAGACTAGAAGTTTTGCGCGATGCCAGAGTTCCCTTGCTGAGGGAAAACACTTGGGTTTTCTATCCTTGTGTTGCGTCGGGCTGACACGTCTCGTATGATTGGCTGTTGGTTGCCGGCATATGGGTCATTTCCTGCATATGGCCCGTTTTGGTAGTACTCTTGATGCTGGTAGTACTCTTGCGGGTGACCATTGGCCATGCCAGGGTAGTCGCCAGAGTTGTCAGAGTGATTGGCTGCCGAGTATGATGACGAGGCGTTGGATGGTCCACGGTGTACCCCAGCCTGATTGTTGGCGGAGTTGGTCGCTGCAGCGCCATTGACAACACCAAGAGCACCGATACCGTCCGAGTCCATGGTCTGGCGACGGCCGTCTACAAGCGGATCGTTGGAGTGAGCGTCAGAGTAGGCGCCGTGGGTGGGAGAGTGTGGGCTGGTGTAGCCGCCGGGATTGCTGTTGCTGTCTGAGTAGGTCATGCCAGAGGTGAGGGTGGTTGACATCTTGCGGTTAGAGCTGGTAGTGGTGTTGCCCCAGCCTCGGTAGCCGCTGTCATCCTCGGCCATTTGCAATCCACCAACAGCAGGCAGCGTAGGGTCGTGGTTGGGGTTGAAGCCATACTCCTCGACCTCTTTGCGACGTTCGTCTTCGGCGCTCTTGCGCTGTTTGCGTTTCCGCCAAAAGAAGATGCCGCCCAATACTAGTAGAGCAACGACAACGACAGGAATGACGACAGCAATGGCTGTCTTGCCACCAGTGCTGATGCCCCCAGAGTTCTCTTTTTGCGCGTTCTGCAACTGAGTGGAGTCGGTGTTGGAAGGGTCAGCAGCACCGGTACCAGTGGAAGATGCACCGTTGGTTGGCGCAGCGGCAACGTCGGTGCGTGAGAAAGTTGCAGTAACGGTGACGACCTGTGGTGTTTCGCCTTGGCCCGTTGGGGTCGAGGTTACAACAGTGACCGAGGTAAAGACTTGGGTGGACGGAGGTGCCGACGAAGCAGTGACGACGCTTGTCGCGATGGGTGCGGCATCGCTGGTGGTGGCTGCGGGAGGAGGCGCTGCTGAAGATTGCGGTGGTGCGCTCGACTGGGCTGGTGAAGGCGCTTGTGAGGTCGATGGGGCAGGAGCGGGCGCTGAAGAGGCAGGCGGTGGCGCCTGGCTGGAGGGAGCGGCGGCCTCGCTCGAAGGAGCAGGTGCTGCACTGGACGGGGCGGCGCTCGAGGGTGGAGGAGCCTCTGACGAGGGCGCGGCCGCTGAAGGCGAGTTAGAAGCCGGTGCGGGACTTGAAGGAGTGTTTTCTGGCGGATTGGAAGACGGCGCGGGAGCAGAAGAAGCCTCAGTAGGCGCAGGTGCTGCGGAGGGTGTTACAGACGGCGAAGGAAGATCGGACGAGGGCGGATCTGAAGATGGGGCAGAGGCTGCAGGAGCAGGAGCAGAGGCAGAGGAAGGAGCGGCTTCGGCAGTCTGAGAAAGAATAGAAGGAGACAACGTACTCGCAGTCACATTGTTGCTAGACATGTTGACGACAATGGCAGCCAGAAGCTATGGTGCCGGGAAAAGGAGCGGCTTCAGCAACGATAACGACGACGCGACGACGGATAGCAGGTGCCGCCGGGAGAGGGTCAGGTAGCAGCAAGGGGACAAGATTCTCAAGATGAAGTAGTTAGAGTTCCGTGGTACCGCTGGCGGGCTCGTAGGAGTGGGCGGCGATCGCTCGAGTGCTCCGCCCGTGGGTCCGCAGTGATGATGTATCGACAGAGGCTCTTTGTTGCGAGTGGGCGACGGGCGAGGTTGTGCAGGAGTGTTAGTGGAGACGCACGCCAAAGGACGGGCGATCCCAGCAAGCACCTGTTGATTAAGCTGCCGAACCGAAGACGCCCAACAACAACAAGCGCGCTCTTGTGCCCTGCCGCCGGTGCCAATTGGGGGCAGTCGATGGCGGTCAAAGGTTTACGGCGAATTGCGATCACCCTCACGCGTTTCTGAAACCATGCCGTCGCAGCGCGCGCTGGAATGCGAAGCCCATGGGCCTCGCGACTCTCCAGCAGTGCCGTGCCAAGGCCTGCTGCAGCCTCTGGTGTTGCACCCAGCAGCGACTGGCTTGGAGCTTCAGACGGAAAAGCGGGTGTCTAATGCACCCAAGCTGACTAGCATTAGCCCCAAAGGGGGAGGTTGTGAGATGCAAGTACAAAAGGCGCACCTGGCTAGCGACCAATGCGGCATGTCCGTGGCTGTGTGCGTCTGAAATCTGTCCACGTCCATGAGCCCTGGACAAGACGCTGCCACGGCAGCTTTCATCTTCTGCGTCGCACGCCAGTTCGGCCATGATGCAGCGTCGCCCTCGCATGCCGTCATCCAAACGGGCCTTGTGTGCGAAATATCCCACATCCCAGTCCCAATAACATCATCCGCTCGTGTTGACTGGCGAGCTGCCTGTTCTTTTCAGCCCGTGCGCCCGTGATTGGCTCCGTGGCGTGCCACTCTTAATATAGATGGTCAGAGTATCCTCGGCACGTTACCTCCCGTCTGCTCTACTGTGTGAACAGCGCACTGTGGCTTCGCAATTGCTGCAGCTACCGCCATGTTACGAGGTAAAACGTCGTAAAAGACACGACTAGATGCGCGCTTTCCATCAGCTTTCTTCGTATCTCTTCGTCATATGCTTTTTGTCCCTGCCACGTGCAGACTTCGTCGCTCCACCCGCGCACTCGCTAGTGACCAACAAATACTCACCGAACTGTCTCGTCCAAAACAAATCAACCCTGAACTGATTAGACATCAGTACCCTGTCGCAGTTCATCGTCTTGTTCGGCACGCGCTGCTGCATGGTTGCCCCCACCATCTTCACCACTCCACAATGTCACGCTTAGTGGACCACCACCACGCACTGCCCCTTACCGCTAGTACTGCACAACTTCATTGTTCGCTAGATTGCAAAAGCCACACGTATCGCTTGTCCACTGTTCAACACCGCACCGCCAGAAGCTTGATTACTAGCGTACCAATAAGCAATATACTCCCTAAAGCACGCCCGGAATTATGGCCTTGCGCCCTTGCAGCTTATCCTTCCCAAACTTCTTCTCGTACCACCTCTTGCCCTGCAACGCACGCGGAAGCATGGTAGTCACCTCGTTGAGGAGAAACGTGCGTGCAGGCACGCACTTCCAAC